ACTGATGTTTGTGCTAAAAGCGATGTTTCAGACAAATGGTTGTCCATAAAACAGACGGCCGTTTGGAGCGTAAACAATATGTCCTGCGGCAATCGTTCCTCCCAAATTCAAAACATCGATATAACCATCAAAAATCCCACACGCGCGCAAAAATAAACAACCGATTCCTCGAAGTTCGCGACGGGGTGGCTTCCGAAATATGTCCTGACGGAAACGATTCCATTGTCTCTTTGGCACGTTCCAAATTACATCTTATTTCCTTGCGATTAAATTCAATTTTCAATTTGACATTTTCGAACATAAACTTGTTTGGTTGCGAAAAGGCTAACAGGCTATAAACCAGCAAAGTTGTAAATCAGAGTCAATTAGACGAAAGAGTTGCGGCCGCGTCGTGTTTATATTTAGCGGGGTAATAATATTAATACAAGTCGATGAGTCCGTGTGTTTAAGAATCGTTCACGTCGAGTAATTGGGACTTTACGGGCGACTCCGCAGCTGGTGATTTCGTCTTTAAAATTAATGGACGATTGTGTAAACTATCGATTTTAATACGTTTCAGACGTAACGGTCGCATTAACTTTTATTAATAGATTAAGTACAATGTAGAAGAAATAAACACACGCTAAATTGTAGTTCGCAGACTTTATGGTGATAGTTTTGCTTTTATTGTACGGTGGCGTCAATCAAATATGTTAGGAACGAAGGAGTAAATAATAAAATAGTATTCAAGATAGAGTCAATAGAATATTTCATTTATTTTATTAACAACAATACACCTTGTAATTTTGTTAATTAAAATTTACAATTGATTGCATCACGTGGGATTGGAAGGGATAAACAACGTCTATTACTGAGTATAATAATCTGGGGTCGACAATCTTTGACGCATTATTGTAGAATCTACATTTGCAATATGTATAGTTCCTTGATACTTCAATCTATAATATAACGTCTGACATATTCCTTAATGACCGCATTCGCATCCTACCTCCGGGCACATTACACTCTGAGTAATGATCTACATACAGCTATTAGTCAATCGACGTAATTACATTTCTGAGTATCTGTGACCGTCTCTAGTCCATTCCAGCGCAGCGTCCCCATTGCCGATACTTAGTACTAATAGAGATCGTCCGCACGCGTCGTGGATTTATCATCTGTTAGCACACCGTCGAGCTAATTTAAATCCTAATCGGTCGTGATATGGCCATACGCAAGGCAGTCTTCGCGGTAATAAGGTATCTGATAACTAGGGTGGATATGCGATTAAAATAAAGATTATTGCGAAAAAACTACAAAGTCTAGAAGACGCGTAAACAGTTGAGAGTCATTTGTGGGATATTTCCATTTGTATGTTAAATATATATTTGTATGTAATCATTTAAAAATTGCAGCATTTATTATAGTAAAGATATTACAGCTTCTTACTTATTCACAAATTCTACTGTAATTAAAAATTAAATAAAACCTGAACATTAAGCACTCCTCAAACAACAATTAAGACTGTCCTATGAATTATTACAGCGTTGTCACCCGCGTGTCGCAGCTGTGCACGTCCGCTAGGGCTGGCGATGTATTTTTAGCGATCGAATTTATTTGTATGAATACGAGTGCAGTGGCAGTACTGCAAGTGGTGGCTTATTGCGTCAATAGATCGCGAACTGATGCCTTTCAGTAGGGCTGTCGAAATATTGTTATTTTTATAATTTTGAAACCCAGAAAGTTACAATTTATAATTTTGTTTTCGAATATTAAAGTGACAAAGCTTTCTGAATATTACCTAGTCATAGAGTACTTACATAAATAAAAGTGTTGAAAACGAATTAAAGAAGATATGACTATAAAAGTGACTACTTTACTATATACGGTATTGTTGTAAAACTTTATTAAGTACTAGCATATTGGGTTATAAAATATTTGTAATATAGATACGTTTTACGTGGTGGCAACCCTAATGTACGGCGACGTTTGCTCTCCCTATCATCTGTCCCCAGTCCGTCATCTGCCTTATTGAGATTACACTCAGCGCCAACTTTAGCGTCGCATACCTCGCCTCGCCTCGCACCATAACGTCATTGCTATCTCGAAAAGCTTTGACAAATTTGATGCATTGGCAATAAATACTATTTTTTTAAACTACTTTCTACTTTATCGTCTTCTAGTTCTGAGTTTTATCAATTATTCTTATATAAAATTTTCCTTTCCTTTCACGCGTAAATGTTTCAGATACGGCGAAAGGTTTTAGCGCGTAGTAATTACATGTATGCCAGTTTATAAAATCTACATTTGCAATCGGCTTCTTAGCTATATTAGCTTTTAGTATATTAGCATTTGTCTATAATGAAATCAGATATTAAAGTATGATGGAGTTGTAAAGTGCTTAGTTTATTAATTGTTCTCACCTGGCATCTGGAATAGGGCAAGTGCCAAGCAATTGACAACTGGCAACGATTGGCAAGTGGCAGGCGCGGGCAAGTAATGAGGGCGGTTGGCTCAGACACGACTCGCTAATTCTATACAAATTGCTTTTGTTGCCGCTGTCTGCTTTACTTTATTGATATTGACACTGCGATTACCGAGAAATTTAGCAAGGATGTTTTAAGTTAAGGGCAAAACAATTGTCTCTTTGATACACATTATAATAGATATCGGAGAGCTTTTATCAGACTGCGCCTAGTATTGTATCATATCTCTGATGTGTTTTCTGTCTGTATTCACATTATCTAATAGAGTTTTGTCTAAGTAAGTAATATTTAAACTTCAAAAAAACAAATCCAAAAGTGGTCTTAAAAGCATTTCGTCACATTGGATCGTTAATCGAGGGGCAACTCAAAACCGCAATAAAATTGAGTGGAACAAAGACATTGCGGACGTTCTAATCGTGCGTTAGCGCATTGATTTACAGCTCCTGCCGACCCCGCGACGAGGGAGATTAATGCCCGCGCGCCCCGGGGACCTAAGCCGCAATTAAATCTAAATCGGCACTTATTCAACTAATATTAGACGGCCTGTTGGCTTACGAGGCATGAACTTACAAATAAGAAGAAATGGGTATACCTTGCCGAACATGCTCAACGTTATAGATTTTCATTTAAAACAATTTATTTTAATTACGTAGATATCTACTTTATAAAAATATCGTGCTAGATGATTAAAATTTTACCTTCATTTCTTTGTTTATTCTAGTTTGTACCGTAACAATAATATTTTACTATGATTGGTTCACATGTCGTTTACTTGCAGCAAATATACTGATTTAATCAGCGTATATCGTCACGTACTGTTCCTTCTCTGTCAAATAAATAAATCACAAGATATATTAATACCTTATCCCTAGTTGTCATAAACAACAGAACAGTTTCATTATTTTATATTTGCTTTATTACTGTGTTTTCTGTATTATTAAATTGAATAAAGGATATCGAAATAATTAGTGCTATGTTGATGTCTCTGTCAAGATTGGTTGGTTTTCGTTCATGCTATGAAACTAAATTAAACAATGCAATTGTGTCAATAGACACTTCATAAGTGGTCTGATAGAAACTACAGGGGGTTGTTATGGATCTAAAATTGTTATGGCGCCTCTTTGGTAATCGTGAATGATAAATTAATCAAGTTAAACAATAGTCCAATAAAATACATCGACCATCGTAATGATAGAAGGAACACAACTGGTGTAATCAAAACGTGTGTTAAATCTCCATTAATTTAACTACATGAGGACGGTAATGGCGGCCATCGGTCAATCGACACGGAATTACTCAATATTTTGTTTGGTGCGATGCGTTAACGGCGCGGTAAATCGCCTGTCAGTAAAGTATCGCTTTGATGCCGCGGCCGTAATTCACGGCCCGCACGTCTGTGGCCGCCTTTATGGCGTGGATAATGCTGCAGTGACTACGACTGGAAAAATCAACATAAATCCACTTATAGCGACTTACAACATTCTTATAAGCGATTTAAATAAGACGATAATAATGCTGAATGTGGGTAGACGTTTTCCTTGCACTTTAATATAACAGTGAATTCTTTTAATTATTGAATTCTAAAATAAAACTTTAATGTCCTTTATTTACTATTTTTATTTAGAAAACTAAAAAGCATAATACAATACAGCATAAAGTGATGAATTAAAATATCAGGACTGTCCGCTTTTTAATGAATATTTTGGCGTGCCTAGTGAATAGAGCAGTTGGTGTCGCGCGATGTTTGTAGAGGCGCGATTCATTACACTTCGCGTCGTGCGACGTGCGCTTGTTTGACTTGCTGCCCACATTACAAGCATCGTAATGGGCCACGCTTTTTAGCGCGTGCTTTAATTTTTATTACGTTCTATATGAAGAGTTTTATAACAGTATCTAGGATAATTTTGTTATATTCTACCTAACTGGTGACACTAAAGGCTGTCGTTTGTCGTAGTTATTTAAATTTACTTTCGTCTTTCTCATGCCATAGCTACCTAAATGAGTTCGTTGAAGCAACAGAATATTTCCTGCAAAATGGCAAGATAAACAATCGAGCCGCGAACATTCCGCCCTACTAAACCTGGGACATCCGCTGCTAATCCCGCCAGCTGGTGCGCGTCCCACCGACCCATCCCGCTATGCTGGCGTGATCTCTATAATATATTCTTCTTGTTCAATTTTAAATTTTTAATTTGATGTATGCCATAGTTTTCGTTTAATTACCGAAGTTTTACTGCAACTACAGGTCCATAAATTTTTAGAGGACACTGTGTTCTTGTCCCTTCCTTCAACTTCTGCAGTTGGGTCGACAGACTTAGTCTATCTGCTTGTTTATTTGATTGTGATTATATCTAAGAAGGCATTAACAAATTGAACAAAGACAATCGTGAGGTCGGCTGTGCCATTGTGAATCTGTCGCCGAGAGAGAGCTGAGGCACGCTTGCCATTGTAATTAATACGCGGTGTTACGCGCACGTCGCCGCCTCGCTACCATTGTACGGCACAACTAGAGGACATGGTCATAAGCGGAGCGGACAAGAATTATAAATAAGCGTCTGTGTCGCTGATAGTTAAGTTACGTGGAAGCTACCATTAACACGGTCATAAGACGGTTCCGATAACGGAAGTAGTTTTATATCTATACCTATCTAGATTCTCTGTGGGATTATTTTAAGTTGTAAAATAATAAATTTAAATTTATAATCTAATAGTAAAAAAGTAATTGTATCGAATTTTATGTATACTCAACCTTACGCATACACAAAAAGTGCACGCATAAAGTGATCTCGGTGTTCTCACGTGCCGACTGATTGTTCTCGCGAGCATGCCGCTCGTTATACAATGCTACGGGTCATGACCACTTTGGCAATCGCTTAGCAATAGCTCATCAATCATTAAATAATAAAGCATATAGGACGTAGAAATCAAATCTCAACGGATTAGTTGTAACATATTGTTGTCGATGTTTTGCTATTAAGTATAAATACAGTATTCTTCCAGATCCTTCAAAGTTGATCAAGAGAAAGAAATCGACGGAGGATGTGAGGTCACCTCTCGGCGGGGAAGGGTCACTGACCAGCGAGGAAGGGGAGGACACAGGCGCGGGGAGGCGGAAGAAGGCGCGAACTACTTTCACCGGCCGTCAGATCTTCGAGCTGGAGAAGCTGTTCGAGGTGAAGAAGTACCTCTCGTCTGGCGAGAGAGCGGATATGGCCAAGTTGCTCAATGTTACGGAAACTCAGGTATGTTTTTTTTCATACTCTCTCTCCGTTCCCGTGGAATTAGTAGAGTAGTCTATGGGTTCTTTCAGACTATCTTCTACAATTATGACAATCATCGAGATACGTTTAGTCGTTTAGGCTAGAAACTCTAACAACATCCATCTATCTATACCTAATATTAGTAAGATGTAAATTTCCATTACCTAAAGACTTGTATAAAAACATCTTTCAAAACATATTTATAGATGTCACTCAGTAAATGAATCATAGTTTGTAAGGCGATGTACAGTTTGTATTCGACATCACTAATTACTTAATGGGTCATCACCTCGCGGTCGCCTTCCCCGAAATCTACGACGAAATTAAACACTTTCGCCGTAACCCACACGTCGTCTGTTATTCTTCAAATGAATGGTGCAATTGACAACAGATAGCGGAGACGTTTACTGTTAAAAAATTCAGACAAAGTTACAATTTCCATTGAAATTTATTTAAAAGAAAACTAGTTGTTGCTCGCGACTTATTCCTCGTGGATTAAAAAAATATATAAACAATCGGTCCAGTAATTTTTGAGTTATTTTAATACGAGTATAAACGTTTATTTTGTCTGTATTGTCTTAAATTTATGAAATGTTTGTGATAGAAACCAAATTTCGGGGTACTAGGTTAACCTTGTTGATTATGACTTACTATACGGCTTATAGTAACACGTAATATACGGCTGTGACTTGTCAATAAATTTAAAATGTATCAAAGACGCTGTTTCCTATAACTTAGGCTAGAAATTATGTCTTAAGCGAGATAATTATACTATCAGCAAGGTGGCGGGATGAAGAGAGAGGGGCGTCCCCCGCGACGTCACGTGACGGGGCACATATGGTGTCACTAATTAAAACTGAGTCGTTTTACAATACGCGACACGTCCGCCCCTTTAAGTTGTAAAGACCAGCTTGTAGATAACGTCACAGGTCATACCGGAGTAGAATTAGTGGCTCATATTTCACTAGAAATTGTCTATACGAATAATGTAATAAATTGTAAAAATAACAACAGAAATGCACTTATTGGTTAAACGTAACATTTAACGTAATATATTATTTATTTATTACTACTGATTTTTTTTTCGTTATTTAATCAACGACTTGGTTATTATTTGTGAAACTATTATCTTACTTACTTTTTGTAACAGCATCTATTTTTGTTAATGGTCGTGTCGTCTCCGTGTCGTGATATCTAATTGGAACTTTCGATCTGTTTGTTGAACAGTATATTCTTAGGATCTAGCTAAACACACTAATTGCTTCACGCCTCACATATTAATCAGTGTTATTTATGAAAACCTTAATGTATGTACATTTTACGGTGTAAAAGACATTGGTGTATTTTAGCTATATTATTTAGTATAATAATTTAAAAAATTAATAAATCAAAATCTTTAGACACAAATTGCACTATAATTTAATTGAAAATATAACATGACCCTTATCTCTTGATTGCTTGTGTTAAAAAGTAAAAAAAACGCCGACCACTTAACCCGATGTCGTTAGTCATTTGTCCTGCAGTGAGTCCGCACTGTCGAGACTTGTACGGTACAAGGTTTGATTCTCAGATAAGACAGTTATTGCTTGAGAAAAACAAAGATGAATAAAGAAAGTAGTTATAGAAACATAATCCCGTAATCCAGAGAGGTAGGCAGGCAAGTACTGTTGTAGTATCTTGTTACGAACGTAAATTTGTTCTAGATTTCTTAAAATCAGGTAACTTTATTTGTAATTATCGGAAAGTTCCTAACCGTGTGCTAACATTGGACGTGTTAATGAGACAGAAATGACGAGTCAGCAAAAAATATATCGTGCTGTAGGATGGTTTGTATAATAGTAAATAATATTACGTTACTTTTGTGAATATATCTTGTTGTTAATTTTTAATCAACAAGTGAGCAAAGTTGCTTATTTAATTTATATTAAATGTTAGATTTGTATGCGTTATCAATTTTGATTCACAATATCCAGAAGTGGACGAAGTCAGATATTATTATTTACTTCGATACCTAATATTTCAGGGTATCAGTAAGCCTCGACAGTAACTATTAACGTAAAATATTTTTTCTTTTATAATTATTCTATTCAAACCACGGAACCTCTGAATTTACCCCTAACAGATACCACTGAGTCTATGGATGTATTTGTTATGCGTATTAACGTTCGGTGTGAACGCGCCCCACGATCGTGTAAAGTGGCGGCTCTCCGCACTAATTGACGGACCACTTTAACAAACTATACGCAACCAAATATTCACTTTGAATACATAGCAATAGAGTGCTTTATTCTCTGAACTGTTCGAATACTGTTCTTTTTGTTGTGATTGAAAGTCACGTTGAGGATTTTTACTCGATATACAGGGAGTTCCTTTTCTAATACATATTGAATTATTGTGTCTTTAAACATTTTCTGACCAGTTATTTTAACAAATTTTACTGTCATAAATATTGTTTTTTTAATTTTAGACATTTATTCGATTGTTTATTTAATAGCACAAAACTTAAAAACAATCATACTTATAGTATAAAAGGCCCTACTAAATAATATTGTTAATTTTTTTTACCATTTAAATTTTCTCAACTATGTTAATTGTTCAAACAAACACAATATTATTCATTTCTTATTGTTATATTAAGAAGGTAAAATCATTTTTAAAATGCCAATTTCAGAACATACTGTATATGTGTGTTCGCACCATATGTCATCCGTTGGTTTTTGCCGTCCCCCGCCGCGCCTGCGCATCCCGATGTCGAATTAAAAACAAGATCCCTCCGTCACTAACTGAGATATAAGATAACAGCAGTAACCATAATCTAGTAAAGATAAATCTATATCTACACTATTATAATAAAGCGTAAACACACACTTCTTTGTTGCCTAAGATGTCAGCAATTATAGCATATTTTTGAATAATTATTTTCTTAATAAAAAGTCCTACACTTACGTCACGCTTTAGGCTATATAATGTGGGAAAGAGACTATAAGTTGCTGCCAATATCAAGCAAGCAAGGTTGCCATGCTTTGACATCATGTCATGTCATTTTTACATTTGCAATTGATAATTTGACAAATGTAAACAATGAAATAAAGTCTGTATAATTTTGTGCGGATGAAGTCGCATGGAAACAGCTAGTTCGTGATAAATTACAACAGCTAGGTTTATCTTACTAATATTGTAAATTCGAGAGTTTAGATGGATGGATGTTTGTCAATCAGCTTAAACAGCTGTACGAATCTCCATTAAAGACAGATGTAGTATAGAACGTTATCTATACATATGCTACTTAATTTAATTCCGTGGACAGAGTCACGGGAGACAGCTAATATATTTTATGTCTTTATTGTCTTTATATGTAAACGTTATCATAATTAACGGTGTAAATTAACTTACCCCTGCTCAGCTTTCAAGCGATTTAACAAGCGTATTTCATAGATAAATTACAACGTACACTGAGCGACACAGATTCTGCAACGTTACACAGAAATGGAAACTAAAAGGCACCTTAATCGCATTAAACAAGGTATATAATTGTATGTTGCAATCTACAATAAACCGATTTATATGTGTATATTAACACAAATAGACACGCTTTGAGCATCGCGCTTATTAGCTTGATTTCCGATTGTGTACTTTTTGTTATTGGTATAAGGTTCACACTCGAAAGAGTATGCTGTTGTGAATATTGAATTTGCTGTCTACGCGAGTGAACACAACTTTGCTCAGGGTTACCAAGTAACCGTGGCAACCTGTAATGTGAGGGAAACACTTTATCGTTTAGTTGACAGAACGACTATTATCGTATGTTAAATTCGATTTAAAACACTTTTTTAAAAATGCATTATGTCGTCTTGAATATATATAGCAAACTTAACTATGTATACTTATTTTTTGTACTTTTTGGTTCGTACATTTAACAAGCGACTTCCTCTTGCAACTCAATTTTCGCGAAATAATAAAAAAACATAATTAGTATGTGTTTTTTCAGACTGTGACCGAATCCATCAAAACTTTCGCATTTATAATATTAATAAAATTTTCAAAGTTTAATTTTCTAAGAAATCTCATTAAAACTCGATGAGGAACATTATAATTATCGAAAAAAAAGAGAAAATGAGTTTCATTTTGTCAGAGATATCGACTATCGAGTATATCGGATTGATACGATGATGTTAATAGCGTCAGTGTCGGAGGCGGTGCGGGCGGCGGCCATTAATGTTTGACGGATGACGGACATCAAACACGCCGCCTCATTAGACGCGGAATACCGCGATCTCGTTTAGCACACGTTTGGGAGATTTCGGTATTTTAAAATTATTTATTGAAATAAATTAAAAGATCGAATATCACACGCTACATTAAAAACAATATGATTTTCTTACATTATTAAATTATATTGATTTAGCTTAAAATAAGAACTTATTACTACCAAGTTATGTACTAAGTATTAATTAATTAATGATATAATGAAGTATAAAAAATAAACCACAATACGTTGTACCAAAACGAAGTATCGTGGAAGGGAAGCCGCCAGCGAAAGCAGCTATTAACCAAACATAATTAATTTAAATTATCTCCCAGGAGCGTTGAAAAAACCTCCCGCGGGGAAGACGAAAAAAGACGTTTTAATTTTAGGAAGCCATCCGGGTCCCTTAATAAATCCCTTTTTGATTTACTCCCTATTATTGTAGCCGTATTCCACTAGATGGCACGGGATGTGGTTTTTTATAAGTCCCATTTTATTGTATAGAGGATTAAGACAGTCTCTAATGACTTTGTTTAACAACCGGTTCTTTGAATAAATAATGTTAATCGTTTTAATGAATCTTAATGATTTGTTTAACTAATACGAATATAAATCAAATGTAAAATCTCCGACTATTTTAATTATGTCTTGATATATTGCCGGCTTCTTTCTGACACCGCAAAGGTATTTCAATATTGTTTTCAAACATAACGTTTTTGATGGAAAACATAATCTG